GAGAAGATTTCAACAATAAACGTTGAAACAATCGCTGAATTCAAATGAACATGTAGGCTGAGATTCAATCACTGATCGACTACATGACCCACTACATTGGACTCGGTCTTGCATTTTCATCGCGAAATCAGTTTTAAATCTATTGCATGATTTAATTTATATTAATGACTCTTACGGTACATTCCATATGTACATTTAATTAATTACATAATATATTGTAACTCTAAAGAAACGATCGATCAGTTCATTGAATTTCAAATTGGGAAGATTGCTTTGCTTATGCAGGTTAACCTGATAACGTTTTGATTGGTCAATCAGCCTGAAGTCACACGTCGTGTCCACGCGTATACCTGTTAATCAATAAGGTTTCGCGATACCCCTGATAGCGTAGGTATTATGGAAATCTCGAAACCTTTGAATAACTCTGCATAATATCAGCGCAGGTGTATTGGATTGTACAAGGCGGTAATAATTCAAGATCAGATAAGTAAAAAACCGACTTGGGCAAGGCTAAGGGATGGGCTATAAATCTAAAAAATTGTGTTTATTAATTAAATCTTAATTGTTTATTAGTTTCAATACATGTTTATGTTTCATCAAGGTTTGGTTGAGCTCGTTTTTTCTAGACTGATGATGGGGTAATCGTTCATAAATTTAATCAAAATCTAATATTGCGAAAACTTTGAACAAATATTTACATGGTAAAAACTTACTTTTAGCCACTTATCGCTACATATTTCATAAATATGAATGGTATATGAACACATCAATATGACTGAAGGTATTAAGGTAAGGAAGTTTTTCATAATCTGTCAAATTTATCCCAAAACAGCCAAAAACAGTCACGATCGGAGAATTTATTTTTTACTCATTCGTCTTCAATATTTTTTGGCCTGTGAAAGTCTAGATGTTATTATCATGGAATTTAATATAACGATCGATGTAAGATGCTATTTTTCGCTATAATATCTTCCTCCTTACAATAACTTTTTCTAAAGTACCCCATATTCTCCTAATTTAGCCCTAAAATACTTTTATCCAAAAGGAACCTAGGTTGGAGCACCTCAAATGATTTGGTAGGTGTTGTAAAAGCACTCCAGGAAATGCGCTCTAGTAGATTTTGTGGTGTGTTTGAAGAAATATGGAATAACTTGTTCATGATTAGAATAAAATAAAATGTTTAAAATTATCATCATACTATCATCATACATAGTGACCATGAAATCGAACAATCAATTACTAGAATCTCAATTCTTGAGGTAACAACTTTTATTGACTAGGTCACTTTTTCTAAGGGCTCATGTACATTTTGATTGGAAAATGTATTTATCTTATTAATTGCAGAAAATGCAGTCTAGCCTGTATTTCATCGACAAAATCAAAAAACTTAATGGAATGGGGGAATACTTTAACAGGTCTTCAGGAAGGTGTGGCCAGGGTTGACATCAAACAAACCAGAACTAGCAGCTCTCAAACTTCCTGCAGAAACATCCAGGGGACACAATGCTGAAGAGGATGTGAGAATACTACAACAGTTTTTTTTCATTTTGGCACTTATGCTAGTTTATTAACTGAAATTAATTTTGAAAAATAAAAAGTAGTCACAAACTTTGATTTTTCCAAAGTATCTCGAAAATTTTGCTATTTTTACAATGATTTTGCATTTCAGTTCAATTTATTAAGTGATTTATATATTTCAAATATTTAAGAGAATCATCAGAGGAACCTTTTGTTGCTTGATCCACTTTGAGCCGGCTTTGTCAGAACATTTGAAGAATTGAAAAATGACTTGTAGGAGAGCTGAGAAACCCAAGGGAACAATTTGCCTTTTAGGGTGCTTATGTATGTTATATGCAACACAGAAGACAAACAAGAAGTTAGGCACGAAAGAATAGTATCATCTCAAAAAAATCCAGATAGTTTAAGTTCTTAATAGGATAATAAAAAATGTATAAATTTCTTGCCTGAATTATTTATGATTGTGACTATTAGTTTGCATTTCGGTCTTGGAAAAGGGAAATATGAGAAGAAAACAAATCTGTGTTCATGCTCTTGCAGCATGAACATTGAAAAACATTTCAACAACACCTGATGAAATTAATAAAATCATTCAGTCTCTTGAACGTGACAAAGCTTGTGGGCTAGATGGAATCAATAACAGAATGGTGAAAATGGCATCAACCACTCTGTCAAACCAACTTTCATCACTTTTCAATTTTATTTTTCAAAAAGCTGAATTTCCTGACTGTTGGAAATTAGGAAATATTATTCCTATTTACAAGAAATCTGATCGGTCTTATGTTGAAAACTATAGGCCAATCACTTTATTAAGCACATTTTCCCAAATTTTTGAAAAAGTAGTGCATGCTAGAATAATGAAACACCTTTCTGAAAATGACCTGTTATACAAGTTTCAGTCAGGGTTCCTTCCTGGCCATAACACTGAACTTCAACTTTTAGCAATTACGGATTATATTTATAAACAAATGGAACTAGGAAATTGTATTAACTCAGTGTATCTTGATATTTCGGCTGCGTTTGATACCGTCCCGCACTCACTTCTGATTCACAAAATGAAATCCTATGGAATAAATGGTAAAACAGCTGATCTTTGTAATTCTTACTTGAGAAATAGAAAAGTTTGCGTTTCAATCGATGATCACAAGTCAAAATTCTCTAATGACGACTTCATAAACTCTGGTGTTCCTCAGGGATCTGTAATAGGCCCCCTTATGTTCCTAATCTATATAAATGATCTTCCTGACAATCTAGACTCAGAAACCTATATCTATGCTGACGATACATCTTTATATTCATTTTTTCACCCATCTAACGACCAAGTTGGGCAAATTCAAAATGATCTAAATACAATTAGCTCATGGTCAAAGAAATGGTTTCTAAAATTTAAACCGTCCAAAAGTGCACAAGTGATATTCCATTCAAACCGGATCAAAAATCTTCAAAAAACACCGCTCTATTTTGACGGGGTAGTTATTCCATGTAAAACCTCCCATAAACATCTGGGATTTATTTTAGATGAAAATTTGACCTTTGAAGACCACATCAATTATCTTTCCCAAAAAGTTCAAAAATTGCTCAATCCACTAAAGTACTTATCAAACAGTGTTAAATCAAATCACCTCGAAACAATGTATAACTCCTATGTAGCGTCAAACTTTGACTATTGCAGTGCAATTTATGGGTCAGCCTCGTTAGCTTTGCTAGCTAAACTTGATAAACTACACTATCAAGCAGGTGTTATATGTGCTGGAGTCCTCCATGGGTCTAACACATCCAAAGTTTTCCAGTGCCTAAACTGGAAGACCCTGAGTGAAAGAAGAAAAGAAAAAGATCTTCGAATAATGTTCAAAATAAATAGAAAAATGGTAGCTAAATACATTTCTGATATTTTTGATATATATAAAAACCCCGCCACTAGGACAACAAGACACTCTTTACCATTTAAATTACCCACTCAAGTTACAACTAGATTTCTCAATGCACCAGTCCTAAACCTTATAAAGAAATGGAACAACCTAAGCCAACCTGTAAGAGATTTACCAACCATTTCTAGTTTCAAAAATGCTGTTCGTTCATTAATACTTCCTAATATGAATTTTATCCCAACAACCAAGCTCAAACTTTCAAGGAATAAGGAGAAAATCATCAATAGACTAAGGGTTGATTTCATGTTAAAAGATCATTTTTTCTCTCACAATTTTACAGGAGTTAATGATAACAAATGTCCTTGTGGATCCCCTGAAAGTACAAAACACTTTCTCCTATCTTGCCCACGCCATATAAATGAAAGAATTGATATGATGGCTGCACTGAGACAAAATAACCTACTTTATGATACAAATACATGTACAAATCAAAATGACCAATTAGAATATCTTATTTTTGAAAACACCCTCTGTCGAGATTCTCAAAATACCCTCATTGACATAGTAACTGACTTTGTTGGAACGTGTTATATACACCCAACTAGAATTTAAAGTTAAAACTTTGACTCATATAGCATCTCTCAACCTCCTGGACCCAAATAAAATAAAATAAAAACTTATATTGTTTATCTATTTTATTTACAATATTTTACTTACTTTCTGTTTTGTGATATCTAAAGCCACATGAAAACTATGTTTAATTTACTTAAAGCAACCTGTAATGCCACATGGCGATTGGTATGCTTTTATATGTAATTGTTTATATTGTTTTCAATAAGTGAAATAAAATCATTAATAAAAAAAAAAAATGCTCTTGCAGCCCTCCTAGGGTTAGGAGGTTGACAGCAAGGCCACGTCCCCCACCGAGATTGGCCGACGCCTACCACCATGCTCGTTGGAGTCAAGGTATGTGACTGGTGTCGAAATATCTACTTAATCTTTTGTGCATTGCTTTCCAGCCCCGATATGTTGCCGCGAACCCCACCCATAGTAGACAGTAGACCCCCCTGAGAGGTAGGCCAGCACCAGCATCACCTCTTCCCAGTACAAGGTATGTTACTTCATATATTTTATGCATTCATTTCAGTCTTTATGTCAGTCTACATTAATTTTGTGCCTAGCTGTATGTATGGAATAATATCATAAATCAATTCGATTTTCTTCCAGCACAGAGACGCAGAACATATTATTTTTATCATTTAACTCATATAATCACACATATCAAACATAGTTCAACGGACACTCGAGGTACACACAAACCAGAATTTCATTGCTATTCAAGAGGCTATTTGGGTCCAATATCCTGAAAGGGAGTTACCAATAAAAAGGATGACATGAGAAAATGTGAAGATCTATGAATACATGTAACACAGAAAGCACAGAAACTTTGAACCCAAAACAATGTAAGTATTCTTCACCAACTGCTACTTTCTTGCTTCATAAATACAATCTATTTGAGTAGTAGCACTGTTATAAAAGTAAATCTTGAATTGTTCTTCATGGTGTTAATTTAGATTCACTATTTCTTTGTAGGCTGTGCATTATAGTTTAAGACTTTGATCAAACATGTATATAGATTACTGTTTCAACTTTTCAGCACCTGGAAGAAGAAAAAGAAGAGGGCAAGTAGGGATTACTAAGCCAAAAGAGGGGAGGACCCAGGAACAGGTAAAGAAAGCCGATCTTAGAAGTCAACAAAGGAGACGCAAGACAATAATCGACAACATAAGGGATTATTGCAAAGATTTCCCTAATTTTGAACACGTAGTTATATTAAAGAACAGGAATAATACGTATTTTTCCACTTCAGGAGCATATCAAGCTCATATCAATACTAAAGAACCCATTCCAACCTCTGGTCTAAGAATCAAGGACAGTAAAAGTAGGACTACTATATCAACTTCTGGCGTAAATGTAAACATACCAGATACCATTGCACAGCTTTCTCCAACAACAGCCAACCAAAGTGATTTTCTGCCTCCCCCATCAACACCCAATATAACCGTTCAAATTATACCCAAATAAAATCAAATTATATAAATATTATGTATTATAAAAGTTTCTAGTTACAACCAGTCAAGGACTAGCAGGGATATAAATTAGAAGTGTTAGAAGTGTTTCTATTAAGATGACTTTTACAAGATGTTTTACCCTTACCACCCCCGCAGAATGCAGAATTATCTGTGTGGGGATGGTATCATTAATCAATGGGATTACCCTGCCCTACTAAATCAGTATCACTAAAATACTACTCCAAATAAAAATAATGTTACGATTAATACTGTAGAATTATGCTTGAACAATTTTTTTTCAGAAATGTCAAACTCATTGATTGCTTTCAGATCCTCATTACTGGGCAGTTTCCGGTAGATGAAACACTTTTCCAAGTCCATTGAAATGTCCTTTACAGATGCAAAATCACCCCTATATACTCAACGAATAACGATCAGTTGGAAAGTTGTACAAGTGATTTATTATTCTGTTCTAAATATATAAAGTTGAGATTAGTTTTACTTTTACAAAGATATGATTGGATGTTCAGAAGATTATGACAATAAAGTTGTTATGTTCAAAACATTGTACCCTGAAGTTAAAGATGTACTCACTAAGTTTCAGAGATCATAATACCTTGTTTGATTCTGATATTGTATTCTATTTCATTGTAGGCAATTGATAAGTACTTGCAAATACCTGTGAAGATATATGGCAACAGTTTACTGAAGATGTGGTACCATCAGGTATCATGAGATTTCAGATGAAGACAGATGTGGATCTGGGACTTGAAATCTGCAAGACTATTGTGCAGTTCATAGATAACTGTTCGGGGGAAGTGGGAAGTCTTATAGAAATAAAGAATTTGATGCAATCAATCAGGGAAAGCCCTGCTGAGCCTGTTTGTTTTTCTTGGCTGGTATGCACTTAGAGTGTGCTTTTTCTTGCTAAGTTCCATTACAACTTTTGAAAGATAAACTTGCAGAAAGACATATTGTTTTGATAGGGAAGGTGCTAAATTTATTATTGTAATTGTGATTATGATACATATTCTATTTAAGATTTAAGAGGTGGTACCATCAGGTATCATGAGATTTCAGATGAAGACAGATGTGGATCTGGGATTTGAAATCTGCAAGACTATTGTGCAGTTCATAGATAACTGTTCGGGGGAAGTGGGAAGTCTTATAGAAATAAAGAATTTGATGCAATCAATCAGGGAAAGCCCTGCTGAGCCTGTTTGTTTTTCTTGGCTGGTATGCACTTAGAGTGCTTTTTCTTGCTAAGTTCCATTACAACTTTTGAAAGATAAACTTGCAGAAAGACATATTGTTTTGATAGGGAAGGTGCTAAATTTATTATTGTAATTGTGATTATGATACATATTCTATTTAAGATTTAAGAGGTGGTACCATCAGGTATCATGAGATTTCAGATGAAGACAGATGTGGATCTGGGACTTGAAATCTGCAAGACTAGTGTGCAGTTCATAGATCATAATAACAATTTCACAAGGGGTCCAATCTTGTTGCAGACGAAAATCACATCTCCAATGTAAATGTAGATAGTATAGAGCGAAGTGACAGATAATAGTAATCTTAGTATTGTCAATTAACAATTTAAAGTGCCAGGATCCGGTAGGAACGTTTATTATAACATTACATGGACACAATTTTTAATATAGATCAACATTAATTGTTGAAATAACAGTTACAAAAGAGGCTGCTAAAACGAAGCATTTTAGAGACATTAGAGGACCCCTGACCCAATGGTACGAGGAGGAATTTCTGTTCACCTCAAATAGATCACATTCTCCTTAGTGCATTCTGCTTTGTAAATGGCGCTGACCCAAACAGTAGAAATATGATAAAGGTCACTGAAGAGTCCCAATAATCGAATATAGAAAGACAACCACTTTTGTTCTTATTTTCCAGTGGGAAGCTGGCCTCGCCAAAAATCTTGAGATCAATCAATTACCCAGATGATTATGTGAGGGCTCGTGCTAAAGCCAAGAAATCAGCAAAAATTGTACAACTCATAGTGTATCACATATAAAGGTTTATTCCCACCGCGGCGGCGATTGTTCCTTTTTTCATTTCTATGACTTTCCTTTTGTTCATTCAAATTCACCTTTTCATATTTATTTCAACATCTTTGGTAGATACCGTAGGTCTATTTGTTTGTCTTAGGAGCTCAATTCATACCCATGTTCATAGAATTACACCAAAACTGAAAAAACAACTCTGAATAGCATTATTAATGATTAGAGTTAACACGGTTATGACGGAATGTTCGAACATAAAGCCCGTTGTACTGATCACATTGTTGAGCATTAAACCATAAGTAATCCAATATGGAAATTGAAAAATAAATTAGCCCAAGTTGTGATCACAAACCAGTTTCCCACTTTGGAAAAGACGAGCTCAACGATACATGCAACTCGAACGCGAGGTACTGACTATTCGGAATTATGATAGACCAATAGCATCTAAGCAAGCATAAGAAACTGCAAAATGATTGGTCAAATGCTGTATACTACAGTTCTGAAAGTGATCGCAAGAAGTCTCTAGTGGAACACAAACAGATGAGCACGAGCACTCCCCCGTGGAACTAAATCTCCCCGTGACTGCAACTTTACTCCGCTGTGTAGACACGTCAGTACCAAAATCATAAGAAAGGACGGACGCTCAAAGTCCTCGTCAGTAACTACTATTTTTGTTTCAAAGTTAAAGTATGGATTTAAATCAGCTAAACAGAAACAGTTTTTTAGAAAGCATACATCACTCTCAAAAACATTGATGGAACTCACCTCTCTTTCAACTCATGTCTAATTTTGATCAGGATATTTCTAAAAATGGTAGCCTAGAATCTAAGCCAAGTTACTTGGCAAGTACATCTACATGTCATTCCATGTATGTAATAAACATACAGAGCCATATTTAGGCATCTTAAGTGGAAATATAGACGCGAATTTGGTCAGGAGATCTCAGATCCTGAAACTTTTATAGTTGATTTTGAACTCGCTCTGAAGACGGCCATTGAATCTGAATTTGACACTAACATGAAGGCCTGTTATTTTTACTTTTGCCAAAGTTTGTGGAGGCCCCTCCAAGCGTGCACCTTGAATTACGCGGCAGCCTACAGGGATGAAGATGACTTCAGGTTTCAAGTCAGAAAGGGCATGGCAATAGGGTTACTACCAGTCAATTCAGTATGGAATAATTTTCAACTCTTGGTAAATTTGAATGTTACAAATGTTAGATTTTAGTTTAAAAAATCTTTAAGATATGTCATGTTAACCATCACATGATGTAGTTGAATCTTCAAGGGCTCCCCAAGACAATGCCTCTTGTTTTAATATAATTGCAGATAAAACAAGCTCTTAATTCCATCAGTATAAAATGGGGACATAATTAAAACTTTTCCTTTCTTTAATGCACTGTTAGATTTTTGTTTGTACACTGATGTTTTGAACCTCTCATTCTTATGTATGATGTTTGCAAAAATACTGTTTTTAATATAGACATATCATCCATCCGAGACCATAATGATAGTGAGTTTGATAGAAACTGACACTAATGATGAAGAGTCTATTCAGGTTTAAATAGAAGATAGGCAATCGCATCATAACCATAAGGTAGTGAGTTTGAGAGTTAGTTTACATTCAAAGTTTCAAAGTGGTTTAGTGCCTTAATCAAATCTGATGCGGTATATCAGAACTTTAGAACTACATGTACTTTAAGTGCACACTCTACATATTATGCTTATTTTAAAATATTTCTATACCTAAAAGTGTTAACCCTCCTTTATTTGGCAACCTTTATTAAAACAGAATGCTCATTTTTAAAAGGTCTCAAAATCAAGTGGAGCATTGTCAATGTAAATCTGATCTATTATTTTTCCGATAATTATTTTTCAGTCATGCTTATATGCTGACAAAGCTCTATTTGAAAAAATGCATCAAGAGTCTAATGTAACATTGTTATATTATAATAATAACAAATACATATTTTCCAGTGTACAATCCAAAGAAGTATAGGGATATTGCAGAGCGCAAGCAGATACCCCTTAAGCCTGGATTTGCCACAACTGTACATAAATCCAAATCTATGACAATTCCATACCTTATTATTGGCTGTAGTGATATGAACCAACCTGGCTTATTGGCTGTTGCAGTTGGAAGAGCCAAAACACTTGCTGGACTCCAAGTTATAAAATACAGTAGAAAATGTGTGATTCCCCCACACACAAAAGTAATTAACTTCTACAATAGCATTCAATGTACATCTACATATACATCTCTGTCACCAAAAGACCATTCTTGTTGCACAGAAAAAGACATGTATATGTTGGCAATTAACCAAGGTAATGGAGGGGCAGACGAACCCCTTCAGAGTGTACTGTAGACACCTTTAAGTACGCGAGTGCAATATTGTATGTATGCGCATTGTGTATGTTAGGATTAAGCGGTGTTTTTATTTACACGGGAACTACCTTTGCAAAAAATTAAATCGACCTTGTCATAATTAGTCCTAAAATAATTGGCTTAGTTACAACGAGCAGGTTAACAATAAAGAAATAAACTACATGTAGTTTGAGTGAGTTTGTTATTGCTCTTTGTCAACGTTTGCATACTCGGATCTTAGACCAGTTACCGCCATAAAGAGAGTAAGATGTTTGACTTGCAAAAATGGTGCACTTCCGGATCATCACTTCCAAAAGCTCACGATTTGGCCACGAAAATGGCCAATATAGAAGTGTCAAAGGTTTTAGATTCAAAGAGTAGTAGTACAAGAAAACGTAAGAGAGGTCCATACCAGTCGTACTCACCTGAAAAGCGTGCCAAAATTGCAAGGTTAGTTCGTCATTTCTTTTCGTTTTCAAATGTAAAACCTACACACATTATTTTTGTTATGCAAATGGCGGAGTAATACAGTACTGACGGTCGGTGATTTACTTTCAGATACGCTGTTGAGAATGGTGTTATGATGTCTCAGTATCTTAAAGCAGCTCTTAGTT